TTTTTCAAAGTTTTCCTATTTTTCTTCTTTTAGGGTTTTGGTTGATTTATAAATTGAGAAAAGTTGCAAATTAAATTTGTATTTACTCCTAAGCATTTGGGTGACCGTATTAAGTGTTCAAATGTGAATTTGCCCAAAATTTAATATTGTCCAATATTTAAGGTTTATTAAAGATTCTATAATTTTCTAATGAGACCGTTATTAACACAATAGCACATTAGTTCAATTTATTTATATGTTAGTTTATATGGAGGGGTTTAATATATTAAATTTCAATCCCTAAATGCAATTAGGAACTTGGTGTAATATCGATCTACATATCGAATTAAATACTCCCATAATTATCATTTCATGTGTACTCATATTATGGCACCCACCTACATTATTCAAATATTTTAATATTTGATAAAATAGGTTAATAATAACATTTCTTTTATTTGATTTTAATATCTTGTGCATAATTATTTGTAGGATTAAATATATTCTCGTAAATCATATCTATTGCTTAAATGTAGATCTTTTCTTTACTTTCTTGGTGATCATTTATGGTTTGGCAAGCAATAGGAATCATAACAACCAGCATGATGCAAAAGTTTTAAAAAGTTCGAAATTTTAGTGATTTTTATTATCAGGAATTTTCAGGGTGTTACACCTTCGTACTTACTACATGCCTTATTTGGGACCGGCTTGTTCTTACTAGTTGTACTGTGATCATTTATACCACGTTGGAGAGTCATGAGGCAAGTAGCCTTTGGAGGGCCTCGGGTGCCTAGGTTTGGCCGGGGGTGCCTCCCGCATGGCGCGCCCGCCTTGGTCACATCACGCACGCACGTGACTGAGTCGTCGGGAACCCCAGCGTGGTATAGGTGGTTGGGGTGGGGCTAAGAAAGGGCATGTAATGAGCTTGAATCACTTGTGTACCGCACTCGATGGGGTATGTGGCATTTGATCTTTGTTCATTTCGTGTGGGTCCAGTTGTACACCTCTGATCAGAGTATAATCTATTCGAATAGCCGCGTCCTCGGTTATGGACAATGCTTGATGTGTTAGTTAGTTATGTTAGCATCAAATGTGGATTATTATGGATGGGATTATGTTTGACGGTGGTGTTGGCATGTTGTGCCATGTTGGTATGGACTTTGGTAGTCCATGGATGATGATGAGAGCGTCATTTGGGCTCATTTGCTTATACATTTCAGAATTATATACTTGATGTCCATAAATTAAAATGATGCTAGATTTACTTGTCCTTGCTTATTTTACTCATTAATTGCTCAATAAAATTAGCTTTATGCAAATGTTCAACCTAGAGACCCACTATAGGCTAGAAAGCTTGCATACTTCTCTCTCCCTTATGTGTATATAATTTTGGGTAAGACTTGCGAGTACAATCTTGTATTTAACCCGGTGTCTGCAATTTCAGGAGAGGATTCCGGTTATGAGTTATGCTTCTTGTGTGGTCATTGCTCTGCCGAGGGCGGCGAGGGCAATGAGTGATCTCTTGCAGCTTGGCTCTTGCCCGGTTGGTTTGCCCTAGTGGGGTTGTGGCACCACCGGTTTTATCTTTTACTTATGAACTCTATTTGAGACTTCCGCTGCTATATTTATGTGTTGTATGTTGGGACCTCGGACCCTATTATGTGTCATGTACCTCGCTGCACTTTAACCCTATTATGGTACTTGCTATGTTTATTAATGGCTTGCGATGAAAGTGTGAGGCTAGTCGCATTCCTGGGGACTAGCTAAGCATGAGTAACGGGTTTTGATCGCTTGAGATAATTGGGGATAGCGCTTTGGATCGAGTCACTGGGTATGCTTTTGGTCGCCACCTTCGAGTGGTTGACAGGCATATGACGTGGTGGACTGGCAAGCTATCTTACGGTTATGTCTTGCGCTCACTACTCGACATTTGGTTTATTATAACAGAAGGTTGTCAACCGCGATCATGGACACATTGAGGATGAGTGGCTATTTATGCGTGTATGGATCCCACTTCTCCAATAGTATGTGGTGGTCGCGTTGGACACTGGATGGTATAATACTCGGGGTGTCCACATGTCAATATCGGCATTATTTGACAAAAGTTCGCGAAGTGAATTTTTGCCACGAACGCACCCAATACACTCCAATATGTCAAAAAATAGTGTTTTGGTGCTTCTTCAACTTTTTGATTCCGGTATATAACATCGCACCCACGTGTGGCAATATCGGCATTAATTGACAAAAGTTCGTCGCGCGAGTAGCGAAGTGAGTTTTTGCCACGAATGCACCCAATACACTCCAATATGTCCAAAAATCATGTTTTGGCGCTTTTTGAACTTTTTGATTCCGGTATATAACATCGCACCCACGTGTGGCAATTTCTCTGGAATCAAAAACTTCAAAGAGCACCAAAACAAGATTTTTGGACATATTGTAGTGTATTGGGTGAGTTCGTGGCAAAAACCTCACTTCGTGACTCGCGCGGCGAACTATTGTCAATTAATGTCATTATTGGCATATGTGGGTGCCATGTTTTTCACCGGAATCAAAAAGTTCAAAAAGCACCAAAACATGATTTTTGGACATATTGGAGTGTATTGGGGGCGTTCGTGGAAAAAACTCACTTCGTGACTCGCGCAGCGAACTTTTGTCAATTAATGCCATTATTGTCACACGTCGGTGCGATGTTATATACTGGAAACAAAAAGTTCAAAAAGCACCAAAACATGAATTTTGGACATATTGGAGTGTATTCTGTGAGTTCGTGGTAAAAAATCACTTCGTGGCTCGCGTGGCAAACTTTTGTCAATTAATGCCAATATTGGCACACGTGGGTGCGATGTTATAGACTGGAATCAAAAAGTTCAAAAAGCCCAAAACATGATTTTGGACATATTGGAGTGTATTGGGTGCGTTTGTGGAAAAAAATCACTTCGTGACTCGCGCACGCGCGCTTTTTTCAATTAATGCCGATATTGTCACACGTGGGTGCCATGTTTTTCACCGGAATCAAAAAGTTCAAAAAAACACCAAAACATGACTTTTGGACATTTCGTAGTGTATTGGGTGAGTTCGTGGCAAAAACTCACTTCGTGACTCGCGTGGCGAATTTTTGTCAATTAATGCCGATATTTGGCACAAATGGGTGCCATATTTTTCACCGGAATCAAAAAGTTCAAAAGGCACCAAAATATGATTTTTGCACATATTGGAGTATATTGGGTGCATTCGTGGCAAAAATGCACTTCATGACTCGCGGGGCGAACTTTTGTCAATTAATGCCAATATAGGCACACGTTGGAGCGTTGCTTTTAACCGGAATGAAAAAAATTCAAAAAGCACCAAAACATGATTTTTGGGTATATTGGAGTGTATTGGGTGAGTTCGTGGCAAAAACTCACTTCGTGACTCGCATGGCGAACTTTTGTCAATTAATGGTGATATTGGCACACGTGGAGTGGCAAGATTTCATAAAGATGTACGTACTGTTGCTGGCCAACAGTATCCAACATTTCGTGCTGCCTTTGAGGCATTGGGCTTACTCGGTGATGATTGTGAGTGGACCCAAGCTATGGGCGATGCAGCCCAATGGGCACTTCGATATCAGCTTTGATACCAAATTGCTTTTATTTTGCGAAGTTACAAACCTAGCCAAACATTTTGATGAGTATGCACTGTTGATGGGAGATGATGTACGGTATCACACTACACGGATCACACCAGATATTTCCGCAACATTGCTTGAGAAATATATTAGGTCCTATGTCTTGCTTGAGTTGGACAAATTGCTTAAACATGCTGGGTATACATTGGCTCACTTTCACTTGCCACCACCAGATCATCATTCTACTCCCAATTTTGACAATAGGTAAATATTGGAGGAACTTGATTACAATATGGACAATCCATCAATATTTCTGTAGGAGCAACTTAGCCAGCTCAATCCAACTTAGAGGTTAGTATATGATGCTATAGAGCATTCAGTTCTCAACAATTATGGTCGTATCTTCTTTATCTATGGTTATGGTGGAACCGGTAAAACATTCCTATGGAATTCTTTGTTGAATGGCATTAGAAGTCAAGGCAAGATAGCCTTAGCAGTTGCATCTTCTGGAATAGCTACTCTTTTGCTACCAGGAGGCCGCACACCACATTCACGCTTTAGGATCCCTATAGATACTCAAGAGCATTTTATGTGTGCAATTAAAAAGAGTACAAACTTGGCTGAACTAATTCAACAAGCAGCTCTTATTATATGGGATGAAGCGCCAGTGAATCACAAACATTGCTTCGAAGCACTTGATCATACGCTTCGAGATATCATGTCATCAAATGACCAAGTTTTGGCAAACAACAAGTTTGGTGGTATAACAATTGTATTAGGTGGAGATTTCAGGCAAACTCTTCCGGTCATTCCAAATGCAAAGAAACAACAGATCCTAGCTGCTTCCATCATCTGATCCTATTTGTGGCGCTGTTGTATGGTTCTTGAATTGACTAAAAACATGAGGCTCAATTCTCCAACAATCTCTTGCTCTCACAAGATTGAACTTGAACAATTTGATACATGGCTTCTCTCCATAGGTGATGGTACAATTGAATCCACACCTACAGATAAACATGATACCTCTTGGACAGATAAACATGATACCTCTTGGGTCCAGATTCCTGAATACCTCCTATTACCGTCTGAGCAGAGAAACCTTGAAGGTTTAATTTCATTTGTTTATGGATCTATGCAGCATATCTCCGAATGAGCAAGCTATCTATGCGAGAGAGCAATTTTATCACCAATAAATGAAGTGGCTGCTACCATCAATGCACAAATAATTGCTCAAATTGCTACTGAAGAAATGTCATACTATAGTTATGATAGCATTGATGATGCCACGTCCAACTATTGTGATGTTCAGTTTCTTTACCCTACAGAGTTTCTAAATACATTACACACTAGTAATATGCCCGTGCTAACGCTACGATAATATTTGATATAATTCATCCTTCAACCAAAAGACGGCAGCAGTATGTATAGTAGTATTGTTCTCTGAATCACAGACTTTCGTTGCTAGGAAAAACAATAATGACATTATCTTATAGTTCTGTTTTTTTTTCAAATACACTATAATCGGGGCACATTTTATTCCTTGCAAGTAGAATCATAGGCAATACCACAATATGCTATGCTTCATAAGTCAAATTTACTACAGATGAAACAAAGGCAGGAATGACAAAAATGGTTGTTCTGTAGTAGTTTCTGCAGATAAACAAAAAGCTTCCGCTAGACAAATGAAGACAGACAGATCCCGTGAGTGGGAAGAAATAGCACCAGCCTCATCTCTCCTGTTGCACACCCACCTCGAGATAACCTCGTTAAGACCGTGCAGAATAAGCTGCTTGTCCTTCCTCATTAGTTTCTTATAGTTGCCAAAGCCAAAGAATATAGGCACTAAAGATATCGATAGCCTATGTGCACATGCTAAATATTCCTATCAAGTGGTATAGTAGGTGAGAAACAACTCTGATAAATAAAAAACTAGTACAGGTCTGATAATATTGAGAGAATTCAAATACAGGGGCATACATGCACACACCGTGATCAATTACCAGATCTCCATTCGCTTGACACGGTGTTGTCCAAAAAAAAAGACAGCTGGTGTTTATGTTGTGTCAAGGGTTGTATAACATCACATTGAGGTGCTTGGGAAATTAATCCATCCTCAAAACATGGACACAAAATAGTCTGAACAAATATAAGGAAAACCAGAGCCTTTTGCAGGATTTTTTTAAAAAATCATATGTCAATGCAATGTAAGAACTCTGTACCTGTTGTGATCTCTTCTTTGTACTCACAATTCCTTTTCAAAAGTTCTCCCTTGCAATGCCTCTTGCAATCCCAGATTTTTCAACTCTAAGGTGATAAGCCTAATCATAAAAAAGATTGCAATTCCCCTCTAAACTAAAATATCATTTGTGGTGCTGCAACAAGCTTACAAATTAACTACAACAAACTTTGCTGTTGCATCCTATATATCCTTACCTTGCCAAATTATTTTCGTGAAGAGCCTTTTCTTGATCGTATCCACTTCATACTTTTGGTTACAGGGAATTTTTGCACTACCTGCAGCGAGAACTCAGGTCCATATTAAGGCTAAAAGATAACTGTAGAAAGTAGGTTAACTGTGGTCAACTTTTTTATTAAACAGTTAACTAAAAATTTCAGATAGAATATAGATTGTTCTACCTTGCTAATTCAATAAGCTTTGCCTCACTTTGCCAATTTGTTTTTGTGGAGAAGAACCTATTCTTGAACTGTACTATGTCCACTTCATACTTTTGGTTACATGGAATTGTTGCACTCCCTGGAGCAAGAATTCAGGTGTATATTGAGGCTAAAAGATAAGCGTAGAAAGTAGGTTAACTGTGCCCAGATTTTTTACTTAAAAGTTAACTAAAATATTCAGACAATAGAGAATGTTGAACCTGCGTAATCCATCATGTAGCCCGATTTTAGTTTCCCATTGGCAAGTTTATTAAATAATTGAACGGGTGGCAGTATAATGGGACCTCAGTGTTATTGTTACTAATTAAGAAACACACTGAAGAACATCACGAAAAAATATAATTTAAGAAAACATTAATTTGATCGCAGATGCAGCCGCAGCAAAAACAACCTTAGCCGAAGCCTTCGCATTAACATCACAAAAATGAACTAATTCGTGTTTCCTCCTCCACATTTTTTCTTGATTCAATGCTGAAATCTTCGGCTCTGATATCACTTGTTATAAAACATGTCCCGATAGCATATCGGAAACCAAACACAGAAGAAACACTTAGACTGTGTTCGGATGCGTGAGTTCCCAACTCTAATAGGGCGCACGGAAAACGGAGCAGTCCATTAGCACATGATTAATTAAGTATTAGTCCATTTATTTTTCAAAAATGGATCAATAAGATTTTTTTAAGCAACTTGCGTATATAAACTTTTTTTTTAAAAAACGCACTGTTTAACAGTTTGAAGAGCGTGCGCGCGGAAAACGAGAGGAGAGTGTTGGGAACTTGGAGTTCCAAACACAACCTTAACTTAATGTCTTGCTCCAAACATGTGGTCACTGGTCAGAGGTCCCACCATCCCCATAGGTTGCCTCCTCTTGCAAAGATGGGAAAAAAAAACTATTGCCAGATCATTGCAGAGCTTCAATAATCCAGGGCAATACCAATATAGTACTAACTGCGCCATCCATCAGAACTTCAAGAAAGATCTGAGAACTTGCTGTCTTCTCAAAACCAGTAACTAAAAATAGAATCCTCCCAGCAGCAAACTTTTATCTGTGAAAGCAACAATACTTCATGTAAACTTTTGTTTGCTGAGAAAACCAGTAACTAAAAATAGTCATCCTATCAGTAAATATAACCCGTTAAAACATGAGACACATGGTTCAGTGAATTTACAGCCTACTCTGCAATACAAATTGCATCTGGCTATTCAGACATGGTTCAGTGTTTCATTATATAGCATACTAAATGGAATCTCACATCAATGAGGAAAACAAGAAGAGGAACCTACCAACCTTGTGGACAACAATGTCACTGAGGAAGAACTTCTGGGTGAATCAAATCTCCCGATGCTTACAGCTGTTGCAGATCCTGCAGAGTCATGAAATCCCTATCACCTAACACAAGATTAAAACACAGAAACCGAAATCCTATAAAAAATCACTCTAACATATCATCTACAACCAGATTCCCCACGATTATAGACCCGAAATCATCGAGAAACAAAACCTCCCCAAGTTCAGTGACCGACAAACAAGCAGACAAGGGGCAGATCATCCAAGAAACAAACAGATATGTACTAAGAACCGTATGATCAAATCAGCGGCGACTAATAGGGAGAGAGGAGACATAGCAGCGATTGGGAATATAGAAAATAGGAGAGGGGTGGGGGCGGAGGATTTGTGTACCTTTTGGCAGAGCATACCAAGGTGGGGCATGCCATGTCGGTGACGCTTGAGGCAGGGGGAACAGCATAGCATCAATGGAGGAGGCAGCGTGTAATGTCCCCTTCTCCAAACAAACTTACACCTGTCAGAAGAAACAAAAAATGTTATCATACTTTTTGAAATTTCAGTCGGTGTGTACATTCAAACTTGTACGATACTGTTCAGTTATAAAATCATGTCAAGAGATTTTTTTGTTTAAATGACCATCATACAAGAGCAAGCTTATATGTTTGATCCGATTTTTATAACTTTCAAGAACAATAAGATTTTTACCACCCCTGCCATATGACAAAGTTAGTGTGCAAATAAATCATGATTAAAATAAAAAATGAGTATATTGAAAATTCACTCAGAACAGCCCATAAATGATATCGCCAAATTCAGAAATATTCAGAGGAACAAGTATGCCTTATCTGGTCAAATGTATGGTGCAATTAATATAGAAAACATCATTATATTCATCAGAACTTGGACACAAATAATAATACCAAAATGATTGTTTTGGTTGTTTTATTTTGGTTGATTCTGGAATATATTAAGAACCATATGATGAAACGAGAGGAGGCATAGTAACGATGGGGAGAAAGAGAAGGGGAAAAGGATTTATGTACCTTTGTGCAAATCAGAGATCCATGGTTGTGTGGAGGTAGGCGACAGTGTCTGATGGTGGAGATCAGGCGGGCAACGGCGTCTGGGTGGTGGAGATTGGGGACGGCGTGGATATAACCATGACTACCTTATGTATTAATCAACCAAAAGTGCATATTTCTACATTAGATTTACTTGTTATATATTTGAACAAACGTTGCTACACAATGAGTTTTGTGTGTTTTCGTTTGCAGAGGTACTTGCTTGGGCGAAACAAAAGAGACTGAGCGTAAGAAATGCATGGATGATTGAAGAAGTTGATTGGGGATCAAATCAAGACCTTTTCCAAGTCTTCTTTCATATCACCACATAACTTTTGGTCCATAGAAGACAAGATATAAAGTTCCACATGTTTTGGATTCGGATTCGGGCCTCCTGACAGTATCAACTTCAAACGGACCTAGCCGCTGATCTAGAAGGAATTTCGGGGCCCATGAGTACTTGTTGGAATGCTTATGGAGTCTACTTTCAGATGGTTTTGGTCCCACGTCAAAATTTCTACCGAGCTGCCGGGAATCTGCAAAACAAGCCACGTATCTCATCCAGTCCGAATCTGATTTGGGTTTTGGGCCTTGTAATTGTGTCGTGGGCTTAGCCCAAGGGGGTGTGCACCCTAGATAACCTTTCCAATGGTTTGTATATGTCTCTTCCTATACCTTCTATTCCTAGGGCAGATATTTCTATGGACTTTGTTTTGGGGTCGCCTAGAACTAAGAGGGGGAGGGATAGCATTTTTGTTGTGGTGGATCGTTTTTCTAAGATGGCACATTTCATACCATGTCATAAAAGTGAGGATGTTGTTCATATTGCTGATATGTTTTTCCATGAGATTGTTAGCTTGCATGGTATGCCTTCTACTATTGTTTCAGATCGTGATGCAAAATTCTTAAGTCATTTTTGGAGCACACTATGGAACAAGTTGGGTACAAAGCTATTATTTTCTACAACATGTCATCCACAAACAGATGGCCAAACGGAGGTAGTCAACCGTACTTTGGGTACCATGTTGAGGGCTATTTTGAAGAAAAATTTGAAGATGTAGGAAGAATGTTTGCCTCATGTGGAGTTTGCATACAATCGGGCAACACATTCTACTACCAAGGTAAGTCCTTTTCAGGTAGTGTATGGTTTCAACTCTCGTGCTCCTATTGATATCTTGCCTTTATCTACTAGTGAGAGGGTTCATAACGATGCTAAGGCACGTGCTGAATTTATTTTGAAAATGCATGAGACAACCAAGCACAACATTGAAAAGATGACTGAAAAGTATAGAATTGCCGGTAGTAAAGGTAGGCACGAAGTTAAGCTTGAACCGGGTGATTTAGTTTGGTTGCACTTGAGAAAGGATAGATTTCCAGAATTGAGAAAGTCTAAGTTGATGCCTCGTACTGATGGTCCTTTTAAAATTGTTGAGAAGATCAATGATAATACATATAAACTTGAGTTGCCTCCCGAGTTTGGGGTTAGTCCCACGTTTAACATTTCAGATTTGAAGCCATACTTGGGAGAAGATGATGAGCTTGAGTTGAGGACGACTTCAATTCAAGAGGGGGAGGATGATGCGGACATCACTACCTCGGATACACACAACAATCCTCCAACGGTCATTCAAGGACCGATAACAAGAGCTCGTGCGCGACAATTGAATTTAGAGGTGAGCTCGTTCCTATGTTCTTCTTTGTATGAATTCAAGAATAGATTACTACCTAATGATTATATTGTGATTAGGAACAATGGAGGGGATAAGGAGACACTTGGAGAAGGACTTAAAGCCATGGAGGATCATCGAGGACGTCCAAGTCAAGGTGGAGACACAAACCAAGTCGACCTCGGGTGCAATTCGGAGTCCAGGACCAGTCTGCACTAAAATGGGAGCCCAGATCGCATACGTGCTCGGATTGGAGCGTTCTTTATATGGATGGAAAGCTAAGAAGGTAACCTTTCCAATGGTTTTGGTTCCATGTCCAAATTATTTCCGAGTCAATGGGAATCAACCGAACAAGTTGATGTCCAGAATCTGTCCCGGTGCTGCGTCACCGTATTTGGGCCTTTGGGCCATGTATCATGTTGGAACCCATTAGGGTTGCGTCGAGAGGGGGTTGCACGACCCTAAACTCTATATATCAGTACCGCTACCATCTTTAGGTTTTTGGGGTTTTGCTTAGATTATTCTGTCAAGAACAGTTTCGCCGCTAGAACGGTTTGTAGAACCCCAAACTCGTGAGCTTAATCATTCATCTACAATTTTGGTTGTTTTCTATCTCGTTCTTGTTTGTGTTCTTCGATTGGCAAACAGGGATTAGCCTTCTCGGCGAGGTCATCCGCGTTTCGAAACGGGTGATAACCAGAGGAGACGTGGTGCTACGATTGCGGGGCTCAAGAGCGTGCGCGTTCAAGAAGTCGGATCGATTTGTGTCGCGACTCCTCCCAAATCGTTGTTTATCAGAACCTTTCAGAAGATCGGGAACCCTAGTGCACATCAAGTGGTATCTCATCCAGTCCGAATCCAAAACGCGTGGAACTTTATATCTTGTCTTCTATGGACCAAAAGTGACGTGGTGAGATGAAAGAAAACTTGGAAAAGGTCTTGATTTGGTCCCCAATCAACTTCTTCAATCATCCATGCATTTCTTACGCTCGGTCTCTTTTGTTTCGCCCAAGCAAGTACCCCTGCAAATGAAAACACACAAAACTCATTGTGTAGCAACATTTGTTCAAATATATAACAAGTAAATCTAATGTAGAACATATGCACCTTTGGTTGATTAATACATAAGGTAGTCATGGTTATATCCGAGCTAGTTGTGCCCTCATTAGCAGAAGGGAGCGCATGGGGGGAGGAGTGCGGAGGGAATGGGGAGTCATCTGGGCCATTGGATTATACGTAGATGAGTATGAGTCGACGGATTTGATGAATAAATCAGTTGGTGAATTATAGGGTAGATGAGTGGCCTACCGGACCATCATCTGCAGCTTAATATTTGTCACACCCTGAAAATTCAAAATATTTAAATTGTTGTTTAATTGGAATTTTTAGAAATGATTTTAAAAGCCTAGAAGAGAAGATCTAATTTTAATTAATAAATTCCAATATAAAATAGGGCCAGATAAAATTTCATTAAATACTTTGCTTAATTCTATAATTCCTAAATTTTTCTGGGATTTATTTGAGCTAAGGAAGTATTTTTAATAAATGGAATTGCATTTAAGAAATAATTTAAATTGAAAAAGGTTTTAAAAAGTCTTCTTTTGGCTTTGGGCCGAAAGTCGGCCCAAAACCTCTCTTCTCTCTCTCCTCGGCCCAGTCCGGCCCAGTCCGCAGCCGCGCGCGCGCCCTCGCTGTCGCTGACAGGTGGGGCCCGCTTGTCAGTCGTCGTCTTCCTCGCGTCGGCCGCCGCCCGAAACCCTAGCCGAGCGCCGCCGCCGTCTCCTTCCAAAATCCGGCCGCTCCCTTCCTTCTCCGGCCGAATTGATAGAGGGGAAATGATCCTCGGGATCTCCTCTACCTTTTCTCCTTTGGAAACATCGGCTAATTCGTTTTGGAAGTTCGTGGATTCGAGTTTGTTTCGGATTCGATTTTTCCCGAACTTTCCTTCTCGTCGCCGGCCGCCGTGGGCCTTCGCCGCCGCCTCCTAGCCCCTTTATAAGCTTCCCCGGTGTCTCCTCTACCCGCCGCCACCTTCGCCTTCGCCTCTCGTCGCCCGTAGCGCCCTAGCGCCGTGTGCCCTAGCGCCGCCGTCGCCGCCGTCGCTCCAGCCGTGCGCCGCCGCCGTCTAGGTCGTCGTCGTCGCTCGGGAAGACCGCCGTCGTGGTCGCCAAGTCGTCGCCGTCCTCGTCCGCCACTTCGCCACCGTCGGAGACCGCCGGAGCATCGTCGCCGTCGTCAAGCCGAAGAGCGCCGCCGTTTCAACCTCGTCGCCGTCGCCGTCCGTTGGTCTTCCGCCGTCGCTTTGGTCGCCGGTGAGTTCGCCGTGCCGTCCGCTACCCGTTGGTGCCTTCCGTTCGCGCCGCCGCGCCGCCGTTCGCCGGTGAGCGTGTGCCGTTCGAGCCGTCCGAGCCGCCGAGCCGCCGCCGCCGGTGGTGACGTCATCGCCGACGTCATCGTCGCCCTCTCCCGTGAGCCGGTCGTGGACCGATCGATCTCGGCCGTCCGTTTTGGATCAAGTCGATCTCGGCCGTCCGTTCGCGTGAACCGCCGCCGTGCGCCCGGTCCACCGAAACCCTAGCCCGCTGACGCAATAAATCCCTTTTTCCTTTTCAAAAA